AATTCTGATGTTGCTATTACTTTTATATAAAAAACAATATTTATTTAAAATAATTTCAATATTTAAAAAACGTATATTTTGCATTCCACAGAATAACACTATATTACTCCGCTAAAAAGTCACTACTGTCCCTACAATAGGGAGCTAATTCATTTTTATTTCGTTCAAAAATACACAAGTACATAATACGTATATAACGTAAATATGTCCTTGAAGTATCAAAAAGAGATTTTTAGGAAGTAAAGTTCATATATTACCATAAAATGCGCACATGGACAGGGAAGCAATCACTGACTAGTCGGCGGCGAGCCGCCGTTATCGTACTGACTCTTGTTTCTAAGTAAATAGCCAGCGAGAAAGCTTATAGGATCAGCGGGTCTCTCTTTGGCTAAACAAGACAACGCTTGTAGCAATATCGGCACTACTGTCTGATCCAAATACTGTCTAGTTGGAAGAGATTGCACTTCGACACGAGATTTCTTTGCTGGTACACCAGACATATCCCCATCTTTATCCATTCCTATTACTTTCTGTAAACCAAAAGAATATAAAATTTATAGATCAACGAGCAATGTTCACAGAAATACTAATTTAAGCTATTGTATAAATAACTCTAAGCTTTGATTCCTTCAATAACTTCAATTCAACAATTGATTTAATGTAATTCCTCCATCACAATATTAGCTTTAAAGCAGTATATATAAGTGAAATCTAATTTACCAGTTAACTCTCTCTCTCTCTCTCTCTCTCTCTTTCTCTCTGATGTTAATGTAATTAGATTATATATACTTACACAAATTACAAACAAGTTTAGAAATAATGATTTAATCCACAGTTGGATATGTGCAAACACATTCTGTGCAAAAATACTATGACTTTAATGCAAAGTTTTTGTCAATTAACAGGTACCAGATAATAAATAATGATACCGTACAAGCCGAGCTCTAACCTAACCCCACTTTCGCGCTGCGAGCGCGCGCGTTTTCGTGTTTATTTAATAGATTTTTGATATTCAAATGAAATATCGTTGTTACTGAAGAGCTGAAGTTATCAATTTACTTACGTGAGTCGTCTCGGATACGGCATTGGCGATGGGTTGAGCCGGCGTCGATGCTTCCGTTCGTTCTTCGGTTCCGTTCTCTGTCGTTACATGAAAGAAACGAACGGCGAATGATGATTACATTAATGCGAGATTCTGTGTTGAGTCTGGTCTCATTAAACAGACCTCAAAATTGTAATGGAAAATGAGAAATAAACGGATACGTACCACCGCCGGACGCCATCGTATAAACAACCGTCACTGCCAACCGACATTAAACTACTGCGCCGCGATCATTCTTGGCCAACATCACACCGGTAAACCGCCATCGATAAGGTGGATTAGAGATCTGCAACTGTAGATAAATTTTCGTTCTGAAGACTCAGCGGGTCCAATGACCCTACCCAGATAACAAAATACTTCCATGGTACTAGTACAAATGATAATATCGGTATTAATGGCGTAACTAAAAATCCGGGCTATCCTGTTTTACCAGCCATAATAATTATATATTTGCTTAATATACTTCTTCTTTCTTCTTTCTTTTATGGCTGGTTGGGCATTAGTCGACCATATACCATTGTTTCTTATGGGTTTGTAAAATACAAGCAAAACTCCTCTCAACAAGAGAGGAGGGAGTCCAAAAAAAAGGTCCAGACAAAGGACATACGCAGCACGCAAAAAAAACATGTCCGAACCCGACACGTTGTCAGTCGGAACTTAAAAATATAATTATTATGGCCGGTAAAACAGGACAGTCCGGCATCCTCTTAAGGATCCCCTTAAGACCTTTACGTTTTTGTTTCCTCCGACAATTTGCGTCACCATGAACTATTGTACTGATTCTTCAATACATTGTTTTGTATGAGTTATACATAAAAAATATTTATTACATATAAAAAAATCAGCTCTTTTTTTCAGTCCGATAGATTAATTAAAAATTTAAATGTTAAATATTTTTAATAAGAGTTTACACACATGTCTTTTAAACGTTAATCAAGTATTAAATATGTAATTTTTAAATAATTATATTACGATAACTATTGTTTATATTCTCTTGGATATAATTTTTACTTAGAATATATGTATAAATGACTCTCTAAACATGGTTATTATACGTTTATTGTTAGCATGGAAAATAAACGAGATGACGTGCAATGACCGGAAAATGATTAAGAGATATCAATGCATGTACTTAAGAGGATGCCGGACTGTTCTGTTTTACCGGCCATAATAATTATATTTTGCAGACCAAAATTTTTTTATTGGTTACATGAAATGAGAAATCCTTTTCCACGATTTAAGTACACATCGAAACAAAGATGAGACTTCACGAGTTTATGTTAAAAACAAAGAAAAGCTAAAAAATTACTGTTTTTTACCGGCTTCTTGTGTCAGATCGTAACAATATTTGCTTAATATAAAAGTTTTGCAGTTTGTATGTACAAAATAAAATTGGTCTCCACTCGAAAATGCATGAAAGAATATAAGCAAACGTCTAAAAATGTATTTAGAAGCCTAGTAAAAAACATTTCGGTGTGCAAAATTTTGTATAGTAAAATCTTTTTTATAAAGCTTCTAAACTCACTTCTCAAAGTTCACTGATATTCTTTGATAAAATGCTGAGTGCGGAGTTCACTTGTTAGGCACGTGTAGATCACAAATTTTTTATATTAAGTAAATGTTGACGGCAGAAGCCGATAACAAAACTGTAATTTTTTAATTTTTTTTCGCTTTTCATATGAAATCATAAACCTCGCACTCCGTTATTATGTATACTTTAATTATGGAAAAGGATTTGTTGATATCTATAATCAACAAAAATATTTTGCATTTTAACTAATATTCGTATTCTGTCGGTATCCAGCATCCTCTTAAGCACCGTACCCTAGGGCCGGCCCCAGGGCGTGTGTGGGACTCAACCCGATCTAAACAAACGGCCGGGCAATACCCACTAAAAACCCCTCCCAGCAGATCTAGTCTATCTTAGTTCCTATGTATCAAGGGCCTCAGCTCCATTTGTACATGACGATGGGACGACTTCACCTTGCCCGACTATTCGATTCTACATTTACGATACTTTATTCTCGCGACATAATATTTAATTTCGATCTGGAAGACGCGTGCATAAGATGCGAAACAATAACTCAATGCGTGCGCCCTCTAAAAATGCGACACGTCTCCCTCTTTTTTGTATTTAATGACCCTGGCGAATGTATGTAGTTAGGGTCTATTTAGACAAAGTTGCATAGATAGATGCACAGAAAAATCAACCAATCATTTGTCTAATACGAAGAAGATAGCAATATGGCGTCCTAGACACTTGATTGGTTAATTTCTTTATAATGCATATACATTATGTATTTATGTAAATTTCTCTGGATAGGCTCTTAAGCCCATATCAGACTATGCATTGTGATTGAAGATTAAAGATTGAAATGTAATATTAATTAGAATAAAGAAATTTTAGCTCCTTTTATTCTAATTAATTAAATTTCTATCTTTAGTCTTTAATCTTTAATGCATAGTTTGGTACGAGTTTTATGGTGCTTCTATCCATATCGATATAATACGTATGTTTTAATACGTATTAACGTAAGCATATACACTGTCCGACAATGATTCGTTTTGTTTTCTTTTCTTATAGCGTTTTCGAATGTAGCAGGTTTAATCGCTCTCAGAGCGATTAATGACGTCATTGCATTGTCTCTGCCAATAAAAGGCTTTAATTCATAGTAAAATATAGTGATTAATTGTACCGGGTTGGGTTAACCCGTTCATTCGAAAACGCTATTAGCAAGGTGAACGTAGGAGTGGGGATGCCTATCCTACGTTCACCATATGAGTATTTCCATTTCCACTCCTACGTTTATCTTGCAAGGGGGACGAAACGAACCATAGTCGGGCGGTATACTACACTGGCCAATCATAGCCATTCCTTCAAAAAATGGAATGGCTGTGATTGTAATATAGTATTAAGTAGGTATTAAAGTATATCGGTGTAAATGAGGCCATGACTATGACTAAAGGCCATGATACATGGAAAAACTTAAGCAGTAAGGGCCTCAGCACAATAAAAGGAATAAGGAACAGGGAATAGAGAACAGAGGACAACCGCATTGGAGGAATTACGCGCACAACACTTGTGTGCGCATTCCCTCCAATACGGTTCTTCTCTGTTCTCTATTCCCTGTTCCTTATTCTTTTTATTGTGCTGAGGCCCTAAGACTTAAGATGTAAGGAAAGCCAATTACAGTCGAGAATGTAAGCAGCTATATTGAAACGTAAATAATGTTGAAAATTTCGTATGGATGAAATTCTTATGTCTTATTATTTACGGTTTTTTATGTACCATGGCTTTAAAACTTTTTCATGTTTAATGGCTTTAAAATATATAAAATATATCTATATTTATTTTGTTATAACAAACTTAACTCTCTCTCTCTCTTTTTTCTCTCTCTCTCTCTCTTTTTTTTCTTTCCCTCTCTTTCTCTCTCTTTCTCTCTTCGTAAGAGCTTATTATGCTTTATGTCCCCAAGTGAATGGCCGCGTTTAGCAGAACAATGAGGGGGCGAACCCAACGAAATAGCGTAACGCGGAAGGAGAACGGAACCAACCGCGAACGTAACAAAAACTGCGGAACCTTCGCGATTAGTTCCCTTCTCGTTCCGCGTTACGCTAATCTGCCGCATAGGTTTGCATCCTTACTAGTTATTGCCTTATCAACACTCGACGTTGATTTGTTGGTTCTAAAAGTAATAGCCAATCACGTTGCATTGCTACTAATCGGTTTGTTCGGCTGCACGCACTCATCGTTTATCTTTTGTTTTATTGCATCACTTTTTTGACCTTCGTGGTTGGTATCCCTCTCTTTCGGGAAGACCACTGTGGTGTGAGGACGCG